GTAGCCAATGTCTAAGTTGCCCATCTCTGTCAACCCTGTGTACTGAGGGGGTGGGAGTTATCCTTGCTGTAAAGATTTGTTCCCTTTTTTGAGCTACTACATCCATAAGTATAGGTCAAGTTCATCAAATTGTAGTGGGTTACTCTTCTTTTTTTTAATTTTCCCCCTCTTCTAAGAAAATAGGAGCCTTTTTGAAGAGGTCCCAGACTCCTGGTATGGCACAGTAGGATCAGCACTAAACTACCAACTACAAGGTTGGCAGTTCAAGCCCACCAACTGCTCCTCAGAAACCCTGTACAGGATCACTATGAGTCAGAATTGACTCGACAGCATGTAACAACAACAACAACAACAAGATTCATGGTAGAACTGATTCAGAGGCACCACAGAGGGCAGTGAAAAATCTGCTTCCCATCCTGTCCCTGCTTTAGCTCCACCAAGTCAGCTCACTGTTGCCAGGCACTGCAGATGGGTCCCGTCGGAGCTGCCCTGTGACTAAGCAAATATGTACAGGGCATATTTGTCACATGGCCTGTCTTCTACCAAACGTCAAATGTAATCAAGTTTAGTACAGCGTGTTTGTTTTATGACAAATGGCATATCAAACACGCGGTTCTGAACTTGGCTTTTTCCGTGCACCTGTGCCACATGGTGCTTGGGCCAGGTCAGTGCACAAAGAGCTCCCGTAGTCTGCCCTCAGCGATACCCGAGGAGCTCACTGTGGGTGAATGGCCACCCGCTGTTTCTGTTGCCTCCCACTGTTTGTGTTCATGGATTGTTGTTAATAATCTTGTGTGGCCCTGTCTCCCCAGCATGTCAGAGCTTTGTTGTTAAGATGCAAACCCAGAAGTGGGATTGCTAAATCTTGGATAAAGACCACGTTGGTGGTTTGGACCAACCTGGCCAAGTGCTCCTCCCTGTGATGCTCCCCACCCCCACCCCAGTACGGTTTGAAGGAGGTTGGGTGGGATTTTGATCACATGGGAAGAAGCTGACCCACCCACAAGAGGGTGTTGGCTGCTGTCCAGGGTACAGGGGTAACAGTGCTGTCCCAGGAGGAAGTGGGGGGACGGAAACAGACAGGGGACCAGTAGGCCTGTTTCCCCCTCTCTTCTCTCCAGGGTGATGCTGACAGGAACACTATCTGACCGACAGCCGGCTGAACTCCACCTCTTCCGGAATTATGATGCCCCGGAGTGCGTTCGGGAGCCTCGGTTCAGCCAGAATGCTAACCTGAAGCCCCCAACCCATCCCACAGGTTCAGACTATGTTTGCTGCCTCTGTGAGCAGGCATTTGGCCCGGGGAGACTGAGGGACAAGGGGGTGGTAGTGGGGTCCTTGGCTTGTCACCGAGCAGCCTTGTTCCCGATGGTCTACTCACTGTTCCTGGTCTCTCTGAGAGGACAGACCAAGCAGGGGAGACCCCGGCCTGCCTGGAGGAGGCCCCTGGAACTCCCCAGCTGCACCCTTTCACCAGGTCCCACGTGCATACATGCCCTCACACTCACCTTGACATTTGAGGCAGGCCGGGATTACTCCAGCCCCTTGTGCCACAGGGCTACCCTCTCCCACGCCCCCCCACAGAACAGCTGGTGTGGAGGGCAGCGCGCAGCAGCGGGGCAGCCCCCACCTACTTCCGGCCCAATGGGCGCTTCCTGGATGGCGGGCTGCTGGCCAACAACCCCACGCTGGATGCCATGACCGAGATCCACGAGTACAATCAGGACTTGATCCGCAAGGTGAGAGCCACCTCAGGTCGTAGAGGAGGGGCATGACCATGACCACATACTCCGCCCACGCCTGTATGGGCAGAACTCTGCAGATCAGCTGTCCTCCGCTAATGCCGAGGCTCCGCAGCTCCTTGGCCTCACACATAAGTCTGTTTGGCAGTGGTGTCTGCACTGTGCTAAAGAAGGATTCTGAAACCCGATCAGGGGCGAGAGTTACGGCCTGGTCACGGCATCTGCTGGAGGGATCTGGAGAACAGCATGTGTGTCCTGTGCATGCCAGTCCTAGCCACTATGCCCAGTCCTGGGGACGCATCCAGTGGGGAGACAGTCTGTAAACAAGGAGCTGACCCTCTAAAGGGTCTGGAGTATAGGGACCTAGGAGGAGGGTCGCCTTTGCTTAGAGGCCTGATGGGTGCAGAAAAGGCAATGTTGAGAAGGGGACCACTTTCTGTGGGTCTGTGACTCTCACCCCCACGGCGCTCAGAGCAGCCACACTCTCGCAGTGGAGCCTTCATGGGTGCTGCGTTGTGGGTTTGAGTCCTAGCTCTGCTTGGACTTGACTAGGTAACAGTCAGTACACTGGAACCTGTGAGAGCTGGAACTTGAGGAAACTGCCTTGTTTTTCCAGGTCTCACACGTTTTCTACCTTGAATGGGGTACATTTTTACACTTGTCTATCCCACTGTTAGTGGGAAAGATTTGAGTGTTTCTTCTCTGGCAGATTTCCACCTTTCTCAGGTTTTACTCTTACTTACCAAGGTGTCCTGGTGGCACAACAGCTAAGTGCTCAGCTGCCAACCAAAAGGTTGCTGCTTGTGGTGCTGTAGATATGTACCGGACTGCAAAGTCGGTTTGAACTGCACAGTGGGTGGTTCAAATCCACCAGCTGCTCCTCAGAAACCCTATACAGGGTCACTATGAGTCGAAACCAACCTGACGGCATTAAAACAAACAGCAAAAAGTAACTGAGGGGAAAGATTTGACAACCTATTCCCATAAAGATTGTTGTTGTTGTTAAGTGCCGTCAAACTGATTCTGACTCATAGTGACCCTGTAAGGGGTTTGCAAGGAGAAGTTGATGGGTTTGAACCACCGACCTTGCAGTTGACAGTCCAGTGTTTATCCTATGGCGCCACACCAGGACTCCCCAGTGAAGATTACTTCCTAGAAAACCTCTGAGGCCATTTCCAATCTGTAACGCACGGGGTCACTATGAGTTGAAAATCGACTTCCATGGAAACACGGACCCCACTCCCCACTCCGCGGAAGTATTGTGAGAACTCAGAACATTGTCATCTGTCAAATGACGTGGGGTGTGTGCGACCTTTTCCCTGGCGGAGCTTATCCGTTTGTCTACCTACAAAGCCTGGATTCAATCCTGTTGGTGCAGCAAGAATTCTGGGGGAATCAGCTAGGGGAACGCCCTCTAGGGGCAAGATAGGGCAAGGCTTCCTGAGAAACTCGGCAGGACGAGTCCAAGCTGTTCCTATCATCAATGAGGAGTCCTGGACGCTGAGTGGGAGTCACCCACCCGAGGTCACCCCGCAAATGGGCTGCAGAGCGGAGGAGGAGCAGTACAGAGCCAAGCAGCGATCTTCGCTGAAAGTCCTCGTTTAGGAGTGGTGGGTAAGGGGAGACCATGGAGAATGGAGGCACAGGATGACGTAATGACTGGGGATGCTCACTGCCTTCCCTTCCCTGGCCATAGCCTTGACCTTGCATCAATAATAATGCCCAATCACAGCTCCACGTGTGTCGTGTAGAAGCGAGCTCCATAGGGTTTCCAATAGCTGGGTTTTCATCTGCGGTACCTCCGAGTGAACACACACCTCCATCCGTTCTGTTAGAAGCTGTTTACACCTGCAGAGCCTCTAATTCACAGGTGTGGAGTTCTTGCTGGCCCACGGAGTGTTTGCACAGGCATGATGCCCACAGTGGCCCTGTGCGGGACGAAGGGGCAATGTCACAGCCACGTAGGGCGCTGTCTCCTCACGGTCCCGCTGGAGACTCTCCCTCACCTGACTACCCCACCTTGTTCACAACAGGGTCAGGGCCATAAGGTGAAGAAACTCTCAGTCATCGTCTCCCTGGGGACAGGGAAGTCCCCACAGGTGCCCGTGACTTGTGTGGACGTCTTCCGCCCCAGCAACCCCTGGGAACTGGCCAAGACTGTTTTTGGGGCCAAGGAACTGGGCAAGATGGTGGTGGACTGTGTGAGTAGGGGCCCCTTCCCCTGGGGTCTCCTGCCCCGGGGTGCCGCCGGAGACAACATGGCTGTGTGTCCAGCTGCGGCCCTGTGTGTCCATTGGCAGGACATTCAGAGTCTGCATGCAGGGCAGTCGTCTTCCCTGCTTTTTAACTAAGCAGCCAGAATCTAAGAGGGCGGGACGCTATGGGGAGAGAGGACAAGGGGGCCGACTGCCCCCACCCCTCACTGACCTTGAACGGGCTCTGCCGAACCAAGTGTGGACCCCATAGATGGTATCCAGCGGCGGCAGCAGCCGCCCTGAGGGAACAGCTGTCCAAAGCTGGGGGGAACCTGTGGTGGGGTGCTCACTGGGCTCTTTGCTGCCAGTGCACGGATCCTGACGGGCGAGCTGTGGACCGGGCCCGGGCCTGGTGCGAGATGGTCGGCATCCAGTATTTCAGGTGAGGCTTGCTGGACCCGGACCCAGCCCCACGCCCTGACCCAACCCAACTTGTTGACCTTCCCTTTGTCCAAACTGCTCTGCTCCCGGGTGACCCCTCCCCCTTCACTTGGACAGACTGAACCCCCAGCTAGGGACAGACATCATGCTGGACGAGGTCAGTGACGCAGTCCTGGTCAACGCCCTCTGGGAGACGGAGGTCTACGTATACGAGCACCGGGAGCAGTTCCAGAGACTCATCCAGCTGCTGCTCGAACCCTGAGCCACCCACCTGCGGGCGTACTGGGCGGAGCTGGTCCTGAAGGCCTCTCGCCCTCCTCTCTTCCCGCCTTTGGGAAGTTTTTTTGATTCCAGCCTTACGAAGCCTGGACCTTCCCTGGCTGTCCCTGACAACTGCCCGACAGGACAGCACCTTGGGGCCTGTCCACTGAAACACTAAGGGTGCCCATGTGCCCACCCCACCTCCCTCAGGGCCCTGGAAGGTCTCCCCAGCCTCTGAGTGACCTATCCAGTTTCCTGGGGAATAAGGTCTGCCCCTTCCACCCCACACTGTTTTCCCTCAGAGCAAAGGCTAGAGAAAGGGAGCATCTCCCGCCCCTTCAGCCAGGGGAACCCCAGGCTCCAGGGGCAGGATTCGCCGTTCGACTTTGCCCCTCAGCACACCTGCTACCCACACCCCTCGGGAGGCTCCCAGCTCCCAAAGGTCACTTCTGGAGTTCAGTGTGCCCCAACAAGAAAGTGGCTTTAAGAGTGTGCCCTGGGCGGGGGAATGAGGGGGCACTCGAGAGGGGGGCAACCTCAGACTGAAATAAACTGTATCGGTTCAGGTTTGCTTCTGCTGTGTTCATTGTGGTGTGAATGCACTACCCCTCCACCCCCCACCTGCCTTGACCTCCAGCTTTAACCTGTCACCTTCCTGTAGGTTCCCTGGGCTGGGGTCCCCGTTCCTGTCCTCCAAAGCAGAGCAGGGCATGAAGGGCTGGCACTCGGTGCCCTGCCCCAGGCAGGCCTGCCAGGTGCTGAGGCCAGGACCCCAGACACTCCCTGTTGGTGTGGGGCCTCATTGATCTTGTGGTGTGGCAGGTGAAGAAGCCCCCATTTGACCCAGACCCCCAGAACCAGCTGCTTCCTCTCTCTGACTGGTGGCACACGAAAGTCGCTGGGGGTGGAAAGGGGCTGCTGCAGAGCACAGTGCCCTCTGATGGTGAGTTCAGCCTCCAAGGGGCTCAACCCTCTGGATCTGTCAGACGGTTCTAGAGGAGAGGTTGAACAGCTTTGGTCCCATAGGGTGCATAATGCCCAGGACAAGTGGGGGAAGGGGAGAACTCCCTCAGAACCAAGGGTCCCCTGCCATTCTCACCCTGGAGAAGGACTCAGGGGAGTGGCCCTGCCCACGCGTGCCCCCCCCCCCCCGCCTGCAGCTCCAAGGGATAAATAATTGAAGGGGCAGGTCACACGAAGCTGCCCGCGTCACAGAATGCCTTCCCCAGCGGGTCTGGTTACGCCCCAGATCGCATTCTGACATCCCCGGCTGGTGAATAATTAAGCTGCCACCTCCTCCTCCCGGCCCTTGGTCCCCAGGGCCCACTGTGCAGCTTCCCTTGCTGCCCGCCAAGCAGTGGGCACCAGCAGACACACTCCGGAAGTCCAGCCCTGCCAGCACCGTGCGCCCACTCCATGGCCCCCGAGATGGACCAGTTCTATGAGTCCACCATGACCATCTACAAGGTGAGGGTGGGTGGACATGGGCCGGCAACCTGTGCATGCAGGTGGGCTCCCGGGGAGTGGTCAGCCACACCAGTCTCAAGCTGGGTTCCAGAGAAGAGCTGTGCAGTCACCCAGAAGGAGCCCCTCACAGGCACACACCTTCTGAGCACTGCACCAGGCAGGGCAGGGTGGCTGAAGCTGAGACCCTAACTGGTGGGCGCCCAGACCCCAGATCCAAAGAGCCCCAGGGAAAGAAAGTGCCCCTCAGCCTGGGGCTGGAGAGCTGGTCTCTCATTTCTAAACTGTTCATTTGATTCCTTGCCTCTCTCAGAGGTATGGAGAGCCCGTAGACATTTATTTAGCCCCTTCTGTATGTAGGTCCCTTCCCTGTAGGCCTCACATGACCCTACCTGTGGGGTGGAAAGAAATCACCCCATTTGATAGATAAGGATAGAGGCTACGATGAAGTCTGATAAATGCAGGGGAGGTTAAATGCTTGTTTAAGGTCACAGAGGGAGGAAGAGGAGCTGCTGGGATTTGAACCAAGTCTATGTCCATGTCCAGGGCTGTTTCTACCCCCCAGGTGCTCTCAGCTGGCCACAGGGATCCCAGAGGTTTGTCCTGAGCAGAGCGAGATCTGCCCCTTTTCCCTGTGTGACTGATTCCCAACAGCCCCAGACTTAGGACCACTGCAGTAGAGAGGGCAGGTTGGCCGCAGTGTGGGCATGAGCTCCGTTTGAGGGACACTGTCTTGGGGACTGAAGTCCACCAGGACAGGTAGGTGAGCAAGGAGACCTGAACTTAGAACAGGTCTCCCAAAGATGATTTTAAAACTCCCTGTGGCTGAGTACAGGGCTTCTGAGGTTTCTCCCTGGGATGGGGATTTCCTGTCTTTCACCCACCCTCTCACCATTGCCCTTGGGTCCAGAGCATCATGGAGCAGTTCAACCCCGCCCTGGAGAACCTGGTGTACCTGGGGAATAATTACCTGCGGGCCCTCCATGGTGAGTACCAGACCCCCTCCCTCCCACTTCTCCAAACCCGTCCAGGCAGCACCCTCCCCACCTAACCCCCATAATGAACAGTCATCCGCAAGGCACACTGCACCTCCTCCTCCCCACACTCTTCTACCCCCACCTCCCCCCCACCCAATCTATACCCCACACCCTGCTCACACAGGTGACACCAAATCCTCCCAGGCTCGGCAGCTCCCACACAACCCAGCACCCTGGTGTCAGCGGCTACACACATTTCTATGTGTTACTAGATCTGTTCAGTGACCCACCGGACGCCCAGTGTCACCTCTGGGCCCAGCCTTATGTCCACAGCTGGTTCTCCACACGCCCCGCCCCTCTGCCAGCCTCATGGCTCATTCAGTCCCCTGCAAACAGCTACCCTTTCCCACCCCACTGTGGCACCATACTGCCCCCCAGCAGCACTGATCAACAGAGCTGGGGGCCCAAACACCCAAGGCAGAGTCCCCTCCAGTCCCACTCCACCCCGCCTTTCAGGACTTGGGAGTCCAAGGCTGCTCTGCTCCACCCCTGCTCCAGGCTCCCAGCCCTCACCCTGCCCTGTTCTCCTGCACCCTGAGCCTCCAACTCATACCACACCTGCTGATGGACACTCACTGGGCCAGCTGCACCCCAGCCTACCACAGACACAGTCTCCCTTCTCTGTCCACTGCCACAGCCCCAGCTCCCCACCCCACACCCCTCCCTCCTCTGTCCACTGCCGAGACCCCCCCCCCACCCCCCTCCATGAGCTCCCCTCCACACCCCTCTCTCCTAACTGGAGCCTTCCTCTCCCCCAGCACTGTCCAAAGCCGCTGAGGTGTACTTTAATGCCATCCAGAGGATCGGGGAGCAGGCCCTGAAGAGCTCCACCACTCAGACCCTAGGTGAGTGACTGCACTCCACTGCACCCCCACCTTCTTGGGGGATGGGGGGCTCGACCCCCACTGTCTGCTATCCAGCCACTGGGTCCCTGGTCTGTGCCATCAATGCCTCCCCTCAGGACCTGGGCCTGCTTTTGCCCACCATCCTAGGATTCCACAGGTGGGTCCTTCAACAGATGCACACTTCCAGAAAGTTCCCCTAGATACAGGCCTTGCACAAGGGCCCCCAATCCTTCCCCTCAGCACAGCCCCTCCCCCGTAGCCCCTGGGCTGAGCTTGCTGAAATCCACCTCTGGCAGCTTCTGATGGGAGGGGGGGACAGATCAGAAGCCCCCACACTGAAGCCACCTCCTCCATGCCCCAGGTGAGATCCTGGTGCAGATGTCCGACACCCAACGGCACCTGAACTCCGACCTGGAAGTAGTGGTGAGTGTGGGACACCATCTCCCGAATTCCCCTCTCACGGAGGACTTGCTGACCCCCACGTGGCAGGCTCTGCTGGTCATGGTTACCTGGGTTACTTTGTTCCATCCTCACGGCAGCCCTAGGAACCAGGTGCCATGTCTAGCCCCATTTTACAGAAGACAAAACTGAGGCTCAGAGATTGAAAAGCGAGCCTAAGATCCCAGAGTAACTGGAGAAGGTAGGATGAGAAGGGCTACTGTTGGGGTGGGGGCATCAGGCCCCAGCCCCTTTGCCTCTTCCCCTACTTCATTCTCCAAAGGGGCAGCCACAGTGAGTTGAGTGGGTCATTCCCAGGAGTTAAACCTTTCCACATCCCCACAGTCCCCACTGAACATGGGTTCCCTGGTGAGGGGTTTCGGGTCCTGCTGCTCTAGCAGCCCCAGACGAAGCCCAGCCACCTCAAAGTGCTGGCCCTTCCCAGATCCAGCCTGGTGTCCACACCATACTTCTCTCAGCCCAGAGCTCTGTCCTGCTTCCAGCACAGATGCAGATGTCCCTCCTCCAGGAATGTTCCCCCCTCATCTGCCTCCAGCCCCTGGCAGGTTCAGCCACTCCTCTCTCTGGATGCCAAACAGAGGATTAGTTTTGTACTTAGTACTTAGACTTCGGGTTAAGACGTCCAACTCTGCAGCCAGAACACCTGGGTTCAAATCCCAGCTCTACCAGTGACTGGCTTTGTGACCTAAGACAAGCTGCTTAACCTCTCTGTGCCTTAGTTTACTGAAGTTGTTGTTGTTGTTAAGTGCCGTTGAGTGGTTCCGACCCATAGCGACCCTGTACAGGGTTTCCGAGGGTGTAAATCCTTACGGGAGTAGAAAGCCTCATCTTTCTCCCGCAGAGCGGCTGGTAGTTTCGAACCGCTGACTTTAAGGTTCGCAGCCCGATTCATAACCACTATGCTACCAGAGCTCCTTTTACTGAAGTTAGGTGACATCAAGTCAATTCCAACTCATGGTGACCCTATATGTGTCAAAGTAGAACTGTACTCCACAGATTTCAAGCAGCCAGCTGCCAGGTCTGTCTTCCAAGATGCCTCTGGGTGGATTCAAACAGCCAACATTTTAACGAGTTGTGGTTGTTGTTAAGTGTTGATTTATAGCGGCCCTGTGTACAGGGTTTCTGAGACTGTAAATCTCAGGAGCAGAAAACTTCATCTTTTTTCCCATGGAGCAACTGGTGGGCTCAGTCTAGTGGTTACCTTACTGAGCTACCACACTCCTCTTTGGCTAGTGGTGATGGTTATGTGCCGTGGAGTCAGTTTCGACTCATAGCGACCCTGTACAGGGTTTCTGAGGCTATAAATCTCTATGGGAGCAGAAAACCTCATCTTTCTCCTGTGGAACAGTTGGTTGTTTCGAACTGCTGACCTCGGGGTTAGCAGCCTGACTTGTAACCACTATGCCACCAGAGCTCCTTTTTGCCGTGTTGTTGTGTTGTTGTGAAGTGCCATCGAGTCGGTTCTAACCCATAGTGACCCTGTATAGGGTTTCCAAGGAGCAGCTGGTGAGCTTGAACCACTGACTTTGCAGTTCAAACGGCTTTGCAGTCTGACGCATTAACCCACAGCACCACACCAGGACACCTTTTACCTAGTTGTTGTTGTTGTTGTTGTTAAGTACCATGGAGTCGGTTCCAACTCATAGTGACCCTGCACAGGGTTTCTGAAGCTGTAAATCTTTACGGGAGAAGAAAGCCTCATCTTTCTCCTGCCTAGTAGTCAGTGCTTAACTAACCATTTGTGTGAGGATTAAGTGTAATCTGCTTGCCACCATCCATGACAACAGAAACCTCACCATGTGTTTTAGCTGTGATCATGAAAAGTAGAATTTACTTCCCTGTCTCCAGCCCTTCCACACCCGGGAGCTCTGCAGGGCAGGAAATGGTCTCCTCCTGACTGTAGCATGTACTGCGTGGGTCCTGTCGTGTGCCAGGCATTTACTGCGTGCGTCCCTGTCGTGTGTCAGGCATTTACTGCGTGCGTCCCTGTCGTGTGTCAGGCATTTACTGCGTGCGTCCCTGTCGTGTGTCAGGCATTTACTGCATGGTTCCCTGTCGTGTGCCAGGCATTTACTGCATGGTTCCCTGTCGTGTGCCAGGCATTTACTGCGTGGGTCCCTGACGTGTGCCAGGCATTTACTGCGTGGGTCCCTGACGTGTGCCAGGCATTTACTGCGTGGGTCCTGTCGTGTGCCAGGCATTTACTGCGTGGGTCCTGTCGTGTGCCAGGCATTTACTGCGTGGGTCCTGTCGTGTGTCAGGCATTTACTGCGTGGTTCCCTGTCGTGTGTCAGGCATTTACTGCGTGGGTCCCTGACGTGTGTCAGGCATTTACTGCGTGGTTCCCTGTTGTGTGCCAGGCACTTTTATAGGCACCAGGGATACAGGAGACAAAATTCCTCCCAAAGAGGAGAGTCTGAGCAAACCCAAGATAAACAAGTGAGTATAATAACATGCTGCTGCTCTTGCTACTATGGTGGTTAGGTGTCGTTCAGTTGGTTCTGACTCACAGCGACCCTTTATAGGATTTCAGAGAAGCAGTTGGTGGGTTTGAACCACCGACCTTGTGGTTATCCAACATTGCCACACCAGGAGCTTATATGTGTTGCTATAGAGGTAGCGGTGGCAGTGGTGAGTCGGTTTTGACTCACAGCGACCCTGCATAGGGTTTCCGAGGCTATAAACATTTACAGGGAAAAAAAAAAAAAAAACTTTACAGGAACAGAAATCCTCATCTTTCTCCCACAGAACAGCTGGTAGTTTCGAACTACTGACCTTGAGGTTAGTAGCTCGACTCATAACCACTACACTCCCAGAACTCCTTATGTGATGCTGTAAGATGCAGTAAATATATGGAGAAGGAAATCAAAGAAGGGGGATAGGAAGTGCTGGGGGGCTGCAGATTTTCACAGTTAGTCTAGGAAAACCTCTCTAGAAAGCTGGCATTGAGAGATGACCTGAAGGAGATGAGGAAGTTGGTTAGGGAGATGTCTAGGGGAGAATGTCCTGGGCTGAGAAAACAGCATGTGCAAAGGCCCTGAGGGGGGCCTGCCTGGTATGTGAGAAGGGCCCAGGAGACTGGAGATGTGACCAGTAGTCAGTAGGGGTCCTGGTTGGACTCTGGCTTTTCCTCTGGGTGGAAGAGGCCACATTAGAGGGTTCTGAATAAAGAAGGGACAGGATCTGACTTAAGATGGGTCAGCCTCACCAGAATACCCTCCATGTTCTCCCATCGAACTCAGAACGCTTGCCTGCCTCTGAAAATGACCACTGGTCTGACATTTTCTTGTGTTTCTTAGTATTTTTAGCACCTCAGCATACATTCATACTCACTATAGTTTTGTCTTGCTCTTTTAAATATATATATATAATTTGCAGTCCAGTACATTAACCTACAACACCACACACACACATATATCTTATCTATAGATATAGATATACAGAGAGAGAGAGAGGAGAGAGGTTATCAGCTCGACTCATAACCACTACACTCCCAGAACTCCTTATATGATGTGTAAGATACAGCAACTACATGGAGGGAAGCCTTGGTGTGGCACGGTGGGTTAATGCATGCTCTGCACTGTAAGGTTGGTTTGAACTGCAAAGTCGACAGTTCAAACTCACCAACCGTACCTTGGACACCCTATACAGGGTCGCTATGGGTCAGAACCAACGTGACAGCTCTTAATAACAACAACAATATTTATGTTTAACTTTCTTTTAGTCTACTAGTTTCCTCTCCATCCTTTGTTTTGATTTTTTCCCCTTAAAGTCTATCTGTTGGCGGCCCAGGGGTCATTTGAGACTCCCACAGTCTAGAATTTCTCATAGTCTGGATGTTTCTGAGCTCAGACTCTTTGCACAGTTCAGCTTGCTCCTCTCTGGATACAGAGGCTTGGTGAGACTCAGATTCCATCCCTTTGGCAAGATCCAGGGAATGCTGACTCCTCCACCAGGAGACACATTACATCTTTTGTCACGTGATATAAGCAGCGATAAGTTCTCAGTGTTTCTAGATCTGTGAATGTACTGAAAGTTACAAAATGTTTGATGCTATTTATTTTTGTTGTTAAGTGCTGTCAAGACAATTCCGACTCACAGCGACCCTGTATAGGGTTTCCAAGGAGCGGCTGGTGAGTTTGAACCACTGACCTTGTGGTTCAAACTAACCTTGCAGAAAAGACACTACCCTTTAGGTCGTATTTGTTACTCACAGACTTCTCTTATGTGTACTTTGGATCTTCATAGAATATCTTCAGTATCTGTCTCTTTCTCTTAGATAATTTGCTTCTTTCTTCATTTCTTTTTTCCTCCACTTCCAGATTTGTTGTGTTGTTAGTTATTAGTTGTGTTGTTAGGTGCCAATACGTTGGCTTCAGCTCATGAGGCCCTTGTGAAGAACAGAAGAAAATCCTGCTCAGTCCTGTGCCATTTTCCGTTGGCCCTCTACTTTACCAGACCTGATGTCCTTTCCTAACAATTTGTTGTTCTTCTCCTAATGATGTGTCCAAAGGAAGATAAAGTCTTACCATACTTGCCTCTAAGTCACATTCTAGTTTAATTCTTCTAAGATTAATTAGTTCATGATAAGCTCAATCCACTGCTGACTAACAGAAACCCTATAGGACCGTTGAATAGGTTCTGACCCATAGCGACTCTCTATAGGGTTTCTGAGGAGCAGCTAGTGAGCTTGAACTGCCAACCTTGTGTTTCAAACCAACTTTGCAGTCCAGCACATTTACCCACAGCACCACACCAGGACTCCACAGATATTTATAGTTGTTAAGTGCCATCGAGTTCGTTGTGACTCATAGTGTCCCTGTGCAAAGTTTCTGAGGAGTACCTGGTGGGTTTGGACTACTGACCTTGTGGTCCATAGTCCAGTAATGATCCTACAGCGCCATACCAGGAGTTGCTCAGTCTCTCAGTCTCTCAGTATCTCTCTTTGTGTGTGTGTGTATATA